ACCGCGGCATCGCGATCGGCGCGCGGCCGCCGTGCGTCGCCCCGCCGCCGCCGCCGCCGAGCGCGAGCTTCCTCGGCGTCATCGTGCCCTTTACCGTCGGCTTCGGCGGCTGCTGCTGCGGCGGCGGTGGCGTCGCCCCGCCGCCGCCGCCGAACCCGAACCCGCCGCGCTGGTGCGTCGCGAACCCTAATAACCCTCGCTGCCCGACGCCGACGCCGACGCCGTGCATCCCACCGTGGAGCATGCCGCCGACGCCGCCGAGCGCGCGCGCGTGCGCGAGCTCCGCGGCGGCGGCGGCGGCGGCGGCTTTTCTCCTCGCGTTCGCCTTCGCTTTCTTCCCCGTCCCCGGCGCGCCCGGCGGCTTCTTCCCCCCCGCGACCGCCGCCGCCATCTGCCCCGGAACGAACGCTGCGGCGCCGACGTTTATCCCGGAGCTCTCCTCCTCTGTTTTCTCGTCCAGGTCTAGTAACGGCTCCTTCGCGACCGTTCGTTTATGCTGCAGCATCGTCGTGAACCCCGAAGTCGGCGGGTCTCTCTTCCACCGACACCCCTCCGCGCCGTACGTCTCAAACCTACACGCGCGTCGTATCCCCGCCCAGTCCGTGCCGCCGCGGCCGTGCGGTGCCATCGTGTTCTGGTCCCCGAACACGACGCACATCCGCCGCGCTCTCGACACCGCGACGTTCACGCGCCGCGGGTCGGACACGAACCCGATCGACCCGGTTTTGTTCGCTGAGGGTCGAGGGTCCATACGAGCGAACGTCGGGGTGGAGTTGAAAGGCGTCAGTTGGAGTTGAAAGGCATCGCGGGCGGGTATTGAAAGCGAGGCGTGGGCGGAGAGACACGCCGGCAAAAGTCCTTAAGGATCGGCGTTCACCACGCCAACGGGGTCGTATGGTAACCAGTGTATAGAACGCACCGCGCGTCGTCGAGATGATCACGTAATCGAACTCGCTGCCCTGACACGCGTCCACGGTGAGACACTCCACCTTCAGCGACGCCGGGAGCGCCTCGAGCAGCGCGAGGAACTGGCCTTTGTAGAAGGTCAGGATAGCGATCGTGCACTCGTAACCGTGGCGCTCGCGTAACGACATCGCCGCGGCCGTCACCGCGACAACCTCCGCGTCGTTCACGAACGACTTCCCGTCGTCCGGAACTCTCTCCGCGCCGTCGACTTGACACCACACCATCGCGTCCGCGTCGCCCCTCTCCTCGCCGACCGCGAACCGCTCGCTCGCGATCGCCTCGTCCGTCTCGAGCTCGCCGTCGTAAAACTGCCGGCTCACCGCGGCACACACGTGCGGATGCATGCGGTACTGCGTCGTGAGTCGATGCGCGCGTCCGCTCGCGGCGACGCAACGCTCGAGCATCGACCGATCGTGCGCGGTGCCTTTCAACGAAGTGAAGTCGGGGTGGAGTTCAAAGGCGTCAGTTGGAGTTGAAAGGCGCCGAGGGCGGGGATTGAAAGCGTGGTGTGGGCGGAGAGACACGCCGGGCAAAGTCCTTAAGGAACGGCGTTCACCACGCCAACGCGGTCGTATGGGGACCAGTGTAACCAGAACGCACCTTTCAACGCGTGCGGCGGGATCAACGAGCACGGCGGCAGCTGCTTGTGATCGCCGAGGAGGACCAAGTTCTTCGGTCGAAGGTTCAGAAGCAGCGCGGTGGAGCTCTCCGGCGTGCACCCGCACTCGTCCACGACCACCGTGTGCACGCGCAACGGCGTCTTGACGTGCTCTTCCCACTCTCGCAGCAATCGGCTCGTGCTCGCGATCGTGCAGAGGATGAGCTGGCAGTCGTCCATGAGCGCGCCCTTCACCGACTTCGCCGCGGTGATCGCCGCCGGGGACTGGAACCCGCCGAGCGACGCGGCGGCGATCGCGCGCACGCGCGGGTGCGCCTCCGTCTTCGCGTCCAGGAGATGCCGCCGCGCCGTCGCGCCGATGCGGCCGGGCGCGCCGACGACGAGCATCTCGGCGTCGCACGCTTCAGGGTCGTTCCATACGAGCGAATGTCGGGGTGGAGTTCAAAGGCGTCAGAAGCGGAGTTGAAAGGCGTCGATGGCGGGTATTGAAAGCGAGGGGTGGGCGGAGAGAGACGACGGCAAAAGTCCTTAAGGATCGGCGTTCACCACGCGAACGCGGTCGTATGGGGACCAGTGTAAGGAGAACGCGCCTTTCAATTTCTGCGCGATGGACTCCACGGCGACGTTGCGGCTGCACGTGACAAGGACCCGCTCGCCCTTCGGCACCCTCTGCGTCACGACGTGGTATATCGTCGTGCTCTTCCCCGTCCCCGGCGGGCCCTGGATCTTCTCGAGCGCGGCGGACAGCGCGCAGACCGCGTTCTTCTGCGACGCGTTCGCCTTCGGCGCGCCTTCGCCTGATGAGAGGGCGATGCCGTGCAGACACGAGCATTCATCGGTCAGTTGAAAGCGGACGCGATCAAATGTTGAAACCGAGCGGTGGGTGAAAAACGTGCGCACAGAACGCACCGGAGATTAAAGCGAAGTCTTCCTCGGGCAGAGGCGCGGGCCCCCACGACCCCGGGACGTGCTCCGTCGGTCGCATCACCGCGCGCAGGACCGGCGACGCGGCGTGCCCGCGTTGTTCTCTCTGGGCGAGCTCGTTGAGCGCCGCGAGCTCGGCGACGAACGCGCCGACGTATCCGAACGTGCGGATCTGACCGCTGAACGGTCCGAGCTTCGGTTTCAGCGTCTGTTTTTTGAAACGAGTCGTCATCGGTCAGATTGAAAGGAAGAGAGGCGGTGCGATGGGTGAAACCGAACCGCGAAACACGCACCAGCAGCGTGGGCGCCTTCTCGCCCGTCTCCGCGTTCCTCTCGCCGCCGCTCTGCGACGTCACGACGTGCAGCTGCCCGCCGATCTTCAGCAGGTGGTGCATCAGGCTTGGGTCGTCGCCGCCGCCGTCGCCGCTGACGAGGTTGAGCTTCCCGTCGCCCGCGGGCTTCGCCTTGAGCGCGGGCCCGCGCGGGCCCTCGCTGAGGGCCATTCCATACAAGCGAACGTCGGGGTGGAGTTGAAAGGCGTCAGATGGAGTTGAAAGGCGTCGAGGGCGGGGATCGAAAGCGTGGTGTGGGCGGAGAGACACGCCGGCAAAAGTCCTTAAGGATCGGCGTTCACCACGCCAGCGCGGTCGTATGGGAACCACTGTATAGAACGCGCCTGATGAGATGCCAAAACTCCGCCAGGAGATTATTCGCGACTATCCACGCGAAGTGGCCCGCGGACTCGAACTCGAGCGGGACGGGGATCAGCGCGCACGGGTAAGGGTTCAAGAACGGCATGAACTGCGCGTCCTTATCCGCCGCCGCGGAGGGGTTGTGGTAGCCGCCGTCGCCTCCGCCGCCGTGATGATGGTGATGATGCCCTCGGTGATGACCGGCGGATCTGCCTCCGCCGCGACCCCCCATCCCGCCTCCTCCGCCCTGGCCGTATCGCCCCATCGCGACGCCCCGACGGCGCGCGCGCGACCGACGTGCGCGCGCGCGGGCGCGGACGACGACGACGCGAGACGCGCTCGACGACCCTCGGCGCGACGCGACGCGATGTGATGATCGAGTCTCGGAGTCCTCGGAACGTGCAGACCTAAACCCCAAACGATTTCATCACACTCGAGTTCGGTGCCTACTTTCGAGGACGAGGTCTACGATGCGCGCGTCGTACGACGACGCGGGCCTCCTATCTACGCGCGCACGACGCGACGGCCGCCGCGACGGCGACGGTCGACGTTCCATCTCCCCTCGACCCTCCCCCGCGTAACGCCCGCGGCCTCGCCGCCGCCGCCGTTCGGAACCTTCCGCGGCGGCGGCGGCGGCGGCGGCCCGTCTTTCCACCCGCTCGCGTTGAGCCACCACGCCGGGTACCCCACGGCCGTACCCGGCAGAGCGTCGCCGGCGCCGCTCTCGTCGTCCATGGACGGGCTCACGAACCCGTCCGCGTATCGCACCATGAGGTCGTCGCCGAGGCGCCACCACGCGCGCGCGACGGCGGCGGCGTGCGCCTCGGAGGCGGCGGTCAGCGCCGCCGGCGACGCGTACGTCGTAGACGTCTCTCCGTCGCCGCCCGCCGCGCCACCACTTCCGGCGCTGAGTTCGTCCACGAGCGCGAACCCCGCGGTCTCCCACTTCTCCTGCGCTGCGCGCACGTCCTCGATCGCGTGCTTAAACTTGAGCTGCGCGAGGTTGTGCGCGAACCGGTGCGCCCACCACGCGGAGCCGCGATCGATCGTTGACGCGTTCCCGACGTTGAGCGCGGACGGCGCGGCTTCGCACCCGGCGAACACCGGCACGAAACACGTCCCGTGCGCGGCGTGCGGCCCGAACCACGTCACGCCGCCGACGCGGTCCGGCAGCCACGCTCTCGTCTGCAGCACGTGCGTGTACGTCGTGCGATACAGCGCGATCGTTCGCTGAGGGTCGTTCCGTACGAGCGAACGTCGGGGTGGAGTTGAAAGGCGTCAGTTGGAGTTGAAAGGCATCGCGGGCGGGTATTGAAAGCGAGGCGTGGGCGGAGAGATGCGCCGGGAAAAGTCCTTAAGGAATCGGCGTTCACCACGCCAACGGGGTCGTATGGTAACCAGTGTATAGAACGCACCTCGACCGCGCCCGGGAGAGACGCCTCCGCGTCGCCGCCGCCGTATCGATCCGGCGTGCTCCACGGCCCGCCGGCGACGTCGCCCGCCCTCGTGACGTCGAACGGCGTGCCTTGGTACCAGTCGCGGTGCCACGCGAATAGATCTCTCGCGGCGACCGGTCTCGCGGGCTTCACGCTGAACGGATACGGCGCGTCGAGACGCAGGTCGCCGTACTCGGGCGAGAGCTTGAGACTTGGATTTATCAGCCGAAACGCGCCCCACACGCGTCGGCCGCTGTAATACTTGTGCGCGTACTCGCCGTCGCTGAACGCCTTCGTGAAGTCGAAGGCGCCGACGCTCCCGATCGGGTTCCACAGGCGGTGCTCGATCGCGACGGGGAGCATGTTCGCGGAGTGCATGAAGTTGTCGGGATCGCCGCCGTCCACCTCTCGAATCGTAAACATGTTCATCACCACGGCGACCTCGTCGTCCGGCACCCGCCGCGCCGCCCACACCGCGCTGTTGTTCGCGGGGTACGGCACGAAGTGCATCACCCACCCCTCCGTCGTGTCCGCGACGAGGAGCGTCTCGCTGCCGCCCTCGACGCCGCCGCTGGCGCCGTAGAACCCGTGTCTCTCCGCGAGGTCGCCCATGAGCGCGACGGCGCACCGCGCGGTGACGCATCGCTACAAGCGATTGTCGGGGTGGAGTTGAAAGGCGTCAGTTGGAGTTGAAAGGCGTCGAGGTCGGGGATTGAAAGCGAGGGGTGGGCGGAGAGATGCGCCGGGCAAAGTCCTTAAGGATCGGCGTTCACCACGCGAACGGGATCGTATGGGGACCAGTGTAACCAGAACGCACCTCCATCGCCACCCTCGAGAGCTCGTTCACGCAGAAGAGCGCGTCGCCGCCGTCGTGCGCGCCCTTCGCGGTGAACACGCCGCTGCACGTGCTCTCGCCGATGGAGAGCTGCTTCTCGTTCATGATGCCGTAGTTGCCCTCCGTGTACGCGTACGTGCGCGCGACTTGCGGGATGAAGCCGACGGGTCGCGTCGTCTTCTCGTCGCGCTCGCGCTCGCTCCTCGCGCGGTACGTCTCTCCGCGCGCGTCGCCGACGTAGCGCGGGTTATCCTCCAGGTCCGGCCATATCGCGCGCTCGCTCCCCGGCGCGTGCGTCGCCGCCGGGACGAACGCGAGGCGGACGTCGGGGTTGCCCTCGCCGTCGTCGCTGTGCGTCACGAACAGCGAGCCGTCCGAGGAGGCGTCCTTGCCGACGAGGAACGTGCTGCACGCGCGGACGCGCGTCGGCGTCGAAGACGCGAGGAGGAGGAGGAGGAGGAGGAGGAGGGAGAGGACTCTGAGAGGGGGAGGGTGGGAGACGAGGGAGGGCGCCGAGGACATGCGATTCTCGACGCATCGCGTCATGGCGAGCGGCGCGTCGGCTTCTGATGGCTGACCCGCGACGACGCGCGCGCCGAGTTCTCGCTCTCGATCTCCGGCGTCGAAAATGAATGCGCCAGCGCCACAGATCTCCCCGCGCGCCGGCACGCTCCAACGCGTCACGTCGACGGCCGTCATGCCCGCGGAGGAGACGCAGTGGCACGCGCGCCCGCCGAACCCGAGCAACCCGGTCGTGTTCTTCGACGTCACGATCGGCGGCGCGGACGCGGGCCGCATCAAGATGGAGCTCTTCGCGGACGTCTGCCCGAAGACGGCGGAGAACTTCAGACAGCTGTGCACGGGCGAGTTCAGGAAGAACGGGTTCCCGCAGGGGTACAAGGACGTGGAGTTTCACCGCGTCATCAAGGGTGCGTCGAGCGTCGATCGGCGATCGGCGATCGCGATCGATCGCGGCGGTCGCTCGCGAGGACGCGCCCGCGGATCGAATTCCCCTCCGCGCGTTCGTTCGTTCGCGTTCGTTTCTTAATTAATTTATTTCTCACGCGTCCCTCCTCCTCCTCCTCCTCTTCTCCGTCGTCGTCGTTCGTCGTCGCCCGCCGCAGACTTCATGATCCAAGGGGGCGATTACCTGAAAGGCGACGGCACCGGGTGCGCGTGCATATACGGCAGCAAGTTCGCGGACGAGAACTTCCTCGGGAAACACACGGGGCCCGGCTTGCTCTCCATGGCCAACAGCGGACCGAACAGCAACGGGTGCCAGTTCTTCCTGACGTGCACCAAGACGGAGTGGCTGGACGATAAGCACGTCGTCTTCGGTCGCGTCCTGGGCGACGGGCTGCTCGTGCTGCGGAAGATCGAGAACGTCGGCACGGGGGCGAACAACAAGCCGAAGCTATCGTGTAAGATCTCCCAGTGCGGCGAGATGTGAGAGATAAGTTGTTGTGTTCGATTCTTTACCTATAGAAGACTTGACTCGATTCGAAGCCTTATTATGAGCGCCGTCGTCGATCGCACCTCGCGAAACGTGACGACGACTCCTCGCTCACGACCGGCGACCGAACATGGACTTCTTCTTGTTCGTCGACGGCGGCTTCTGCGGCGACTTCATCGTCTGCGTCGGCGACTTCATCGTCGGCGACTTCATCGTCGGCGACTTCGTCGTCGGCGATCTGACGACCGATCGCGTCGGGGACGCTACGCTCCCTCTCGAGTGCCGCGTCGCCTCCCCCGCGAAGTCATCGTCGCCGTCGCCGCGCATCATAATGGAGGGATACTCATCTCCGTCTCCCTCTTCGCCGCCGCCGCCGCCGCCGTCCAGCCTGTCGTCGCCGCGCGGCCCCCCGTCCATCCTCGACCCTCGCGGGCCGCCGCCGCCGTCCGACGGCCGATCCCCGGGCGGCGGACTCGGCTCGTGCGCGCCGCCGCCGCGCCTCCTGCCATTCTGATTCGGGTTCTCCTCCACCATCCCGAGCGCGCGCGCCTCGTCGAGCTCCCGCTGCACCATGTGATCCACGCCCTGGGCCTGGCGGTCCTCGTACTCCGGCCGCCACTCGGCGCCGTCGTCTTCGTAACCGTAACTCTCTCCGCCGCGTCGACGCTCGCGCTCGCGTTGCTCGTCGCGGCCGCCCTCGAGCAACCCGCCGCCTCGACCCACCTGCCGCTCGTTCACCGGCGGCTCCATCGCGGTCAGCCGCTTCGACGGCGGGAGCTCCTCGAGTACCAAGTTCGCGACGGACCCGAACCCGCCCATGAGCTGCGCGTCCTTCTCCGCGAGCTTGCTCCGCAGCGCCGCGATCTCCCGCGCGCATCGACGCGACACCTCGAGCATCTCGTTGTTGCTCGCGATCGCCGCCGCCTCCGCCTTCTCCAGCCTCAGCGTCAGCGCCACGCGGTCGCTCTGCATGTCGCGCTGGTCCGTTTCGCGCTCCTTCGCCGCGCGTCGCAGCGCGGTGTTCTCCTCTCGCAACGCGTCGAGCTCTTCCCAATCCGCGCCCCCTTTGAGGAGCTCGTTCGCGTCTTGCAGACGACCGGCGACGTGCTCCGCCTCCGCGAGCCGCCGCTGGTCCACGACCGCCTGCTCCAGCACCGTCTCCAGACGCGCGATGATACCCTCCTGCATCGCGATCGTCTCTTTGCATTTCATCACCTTCTTCGCCTCTCGCTCCCACTTCATCGAGCTCTTGGAGAGAAACGCGTGCGCCTCTTGAAGCTCCTGGTGACGCGCCTTGAGATGCTCCGCGCCCACGGTGGCCTCGTGCATCGCCTTGAGCCTGTGAATCAGCTCCGTGTTGCGTCGCTTCTCCGCGGCGTACCGCGCCGCGATCTGCCCGACGCGCTCCTTCGCCGCCATGACGTCGTTGACGTCCCACATGTCCCCCATGAGCGCCAACCCCGCCGCCGGGTCCGCGTTCTTCTCCTCGTGCAGCAGCCGCCGCAGCTCCGTGTTGTCCGCCTCCAGACGCTTCCTCGCGCTCTCTGCGTCCTGCACGCGCCACTTCAACGACTCGCACCGCTTCTCCGCGGCGTCGAGCCGCGTCATCGCGTCCTCCATCGCCGCCTGCTTGTCCATCATGTCCGTCGCCATCGCGCTCAGCATCCACGCGCCGTCGCCGCCGACGCCGAGCCCGCCGCCGCCCGCGGCGAACCCCCCCGCGATTTCCTTCTCGCGGCTCGCGACGACGGCGTCGCGAGGCCACGCCCTCGCGGTGATGTTCACGCGGCCAGCCTCGTCGCCGCCGCGCGCGTACAGCGGGACGTCGTTCAGCGAGCTCGGGCGCCCGCCGCGTCCGAGGTCCGACGCCGGGATCACCGCGCGGCCGATCATGCCGCGGTCGTTGTGGAGCTCGAGGACGAGCGCGGGGGAGCGCGACTGCGACACCATACTGGCGGAGGTGAGAAAGCTCGCGCGGTGGCCGCTCGGCCACAGCGGCGGGCCGGAGAGCGTCGCGCCCTGAAGCGTCGGGCTCGCGTCCGTGCCCGCCTCCGACGTGATCTGCGCCATCGCCTTCACGATCGCGTCCTCTCTTCCCCCGTCGACCGTCGTCCACAGCGCGTGCGCCGTCTCCCCCGCCGCGAGCGCGGCTTTCCCGTCCCTCGCCATTCGCCACACCGCGACGACGGGGCCGGCGTATCCGTCGTCGCGTTCGTCGAACGCGTGCACGCCGGTGATGGACGCCTCCAGCTTCAACGCGTCCGAGTCGCCGCGGACGCGCGCGAGCTCGCGCGCGGGCGCCGCGGGAATGATCACCGAGACGCACAGGCTGGCTCCGCCGCCCAGCGTGAGCTTCATGTTGTAGTGCCTCCCCACCGCGACGCCCTTCAGGGGGATGGAGACTTTCCCCATGAGCTTGTTGGTGTCGTGGTTGACGACGGCGAGGAGCACCTTTTCGCGGTCGAGCTCGTTCTCCGCCACCTCCACGGTGACGATCTCGTTCCACGTCGGATCGCGCGTCCGCGGCACCGCGCGCGTCGCCGCGCGGCTCGGCAGCCGCGCCGCCGCCTCGCGCATCGTCTTCGCGGCGACGAACGCGGACGGATCCCTCCCGTTTTCGTCGCTCAACCCCTCCGCGTTGGCGACCAAGACGTGGCATCGCACCGTCCTCCCTCCATCCTTCGAGTCCCCCGCGCGCCCCCCCTTCGGCCGCGCGTCCGTGTCCAGCATCGTGACCTGCAGCGACACCTGCGCGGGCGATCCCCCCTCGGGCGCGTCCAGCGCGACGTTCAGCGACACCGCCTCGCCGCGTTGGAGCCGCTGAGGGTCGTTCCATACGAGCGATGATATCGGGGTGGAGTTCAAAGGCGTCAGATGGAGTTGAAAGGCATCGCGGTCGGGGATTGAAAGCGAGGTGTGGGCGCAGAGAATCGCCGGGCGAAGTCCTTAAGGAATGGCGTTCACCACGCGAACGCGGTCGTATGGGGACCAGTGTGAGGGACGCGCACCTCCACCGTCGTCCCGAAGAAGTCGACGAATCCTTCCCCGATCAGCACGTCCTCGTTCCGTGCGGACGACAACGACGAGCTCGCCGCGAACAGCTGGCAGTGCAGCGCGGGCGGCCCCGAGCTACCGAGCTCCGCGTTCAGGTCCGCGCCGTCCTTGCCGCCGTCGTGGAGCTTGTTCGCGAGCGGCCCCGCGGAGTCGCGCGGGACCGCGAGGACGAAGGCGCGATTCGTAAACTCGGGCGACGCGGTCGTGTCCGTCGTCTCCGTGCGCCCCGTCTGCCCGGCGTTGCTTCGGAGCGCGCCGACGACGTCGCGGACGTCATCGCCGGCGAAGAGGACGTTCGGGGGGCTGTCGCGGCTCTTGAGCGTCTGCGGAAGGAGAGAGGGAGAGGAGGGGGGGGTCAGATGCGGGTCAGACGGATTGTCGAGAATCACGCCTCCGCGGCAGCTGAGGGAATGGAATTCGTTTTTTCGAACGACGCGCGCGGGACGCCGCGCGACGCGCGACGACGACGCGCCTGCAGGGTGAGGAAATACGGCCGCGCTTCCTTCACGCGCACGCCCGTGATGAGCACCCGAAGGTGCACCGCGGGCAGCATCGTGCGCGATACGCGAGCGCGCGTCGGCGCAGTGCCGCCGCGTCGTGGTTTCGTTCGTGTCACGACTTGAACGTTCGTCGTCGCCAACGCGCGGCTCGTTGACCGGACCGAGGACGACGATTCGAGCGGCCGGGGAGTGTGTGTGATGAGTGTTGAGTGATGAGTGTGAGCGCTGAAGCCTAGTCGTCTACGACCGCTCTTTCGCGACCGTGAGCCCCACGGCGTTCAACTCCGCCTCCCATCGCGCGTCGTCCATCGCCATCCGCTCCTTCATCCGCGCCGCGCGCAGCCGCTTCGTCGCGACGTCCGCCATGACCACCTCCCCCGCCGCCTCCGCCTCCGCCTTTTCTCCCATGGTTTTCCCCCCGACGGCGCGGCGGTGCTTCTCGTGCCACCCCGCGACCTGAGGGTCGTTCCATACAAAGCGATGACGGGGTTGAGTTCAAGGCGTCAGTTGGAGTTGAAAGGCGTCGAGGGCGGGCGTTGAAAGCGAGGGGTGGGCGGAGAGATGCGCCGGCGAAGGTCCTTAAGGATCGGCGTTCACCACGCCAACGCGGCCGTATGGGAACCAGTGTATAGAACGCACCTGAGACGTCTTGCGCAGGTCCGCGACGATCGCGACGGACGCCTCGTGCGCCTCGTTCGCGGCGACCATGCGGTCGATCCTGAAGTCCGCGCGCTTGTTCAGCGTGCCCATCGCGCCCGGTCGACGACGCGTTAACGAGATGAATTAATTCGCCCTCCGACGCCTCGGGGGAATGAACGGAGTCGCGCCGGCGCGGGAGACGCGTTCGAGGCCTGGGGAGGGCGCGCGCGCGGGGTCGACGCGTCAGCGCGCGCGTGGACAGACGGCGGCGCGGCGGGGAAGCGCGAACCCGCGCGCGATGGCGGAGCGCGCGACGCGGGATGGATGATTGCTCGCGGGTGCTTTTCCCCCCGCCATTCGCGCGGGAGGGCCAAACGCGGCGTGCGCGCGATCGATGGATCCGCGACGGACGCGGGCGACGGGCGGGGGCGGGAGACGCACCGCGCGCGGCGACGGCGCGTCTGATTCGCGCGTCGGGAGCGACGGCGGCGGCGAGGAAACTCGGGCGGGCGACGGCGACGGCGTGCGCGCGCGAGTGCGCGACCGCGTTCAGGGGCGCGCCCGTGAAAAAAGTCAGCAGTCGCAGTCGTCATCTCGCGTCGGCCAATTGCGTGATTGGGGATAAAGCGTCGTGCGGCTTTCGAGCGTCACTCCTCGACGCGCGCGCGCGCGTCGACGCTTCGCGCGGCGATGACGCCGCACGAAGAGCGACCGGGATCGCTCGTCAAGTGGTGCGGCGAGAACGGAGAGCGGGGGCAGAGGCTCCTTCTGGAGTATCGCGACGACGAGAAGCTGCCATCGGAGGTTATGGCGTTGTCTTCGTACAATGCGCTCTGGAGGTGCGCGGAGTGCGAGCACGAGTGGAAAGCCGGAGTATGCAGCCGCACGAGGAGCGACGCAGCCGCCGAGTGCATGAGGTGCCGCGGTTGCAGCGCACGGGGCATCAGCTTCCGGGTGTGGTGCGACGCCAACGGCGAGCGAGGGAAGTCACTCCTCGAGGAGTACGTCGATACGGACAGAGGACCGATGGACGTGACGCGAGCGTCGGGTTACAAGGCGCTGTGGAAGTGCGCGACGTGCGAGCACGAGTGGCGGACGAAGATATGCAACCGCACGACGGCTAACAACCCCACCGGGTGCCCGAAATGCCCGGGCTTCGTCGCCAGGTCGAACAAATTCCAGGTGTGGTGCGACGCCAACGGCGAGCGAGGGAAGAAGCTCCTCGAGGAATACGTCGATACGGACAGGGGACCGACGGACGTGACACACGGGTCGAAATACAAGGCGCTGTGGAAGTGCGCGACGTGCGAGCACGAGTGGCGGGCGAAGATGAACAACCGCATGAGAGCTAATAACCCCAGCGGGTGCCCGGCGTGCTCGGGCTACACCGCCACTTCGACGAAAAACTTCCAGGTGTGGTGCGAAGAGAACGGCGAGCGAGGGAAGAAGCTCCTCGAGGAATACGTCGATACGGACAGGGGACCGACGGACGTGACTCACGGGTCGAGCTACAAGGCGCTGTGGAAGTGCGCGACGTGCGAGCACGAGTGGTGGGCGACGATGAACCACCACACGAGGGCTAACAACCCCGCCGGGTGCCCGTCCTGCTCGAGATACGCCGCCAGGTCGACCTTCCGGGTGTGGTGCGACGCCAACGGCGAGATAGGGAAGAAATTCCTCGAGGAGTACGTCAATACGGACAGAGGACCGATGGACGTGACGCGAGCGTCGGCGTACAAGGCGCTGTGGAAGTGTGCGACGTGCGAGCACGAGTGGCGGGCGAAGGTGGGCAGCCGCACGAACAGTCGCAGACCCTGCGGGTGCCCGAAGTGCGCGAATCATTTGCCGCTGAGCAAGACGAACAACTTCCAGGCGTGGTGCGACGCCAACGGCGAGCGAGGGAAGACACTCCTCGAGGAGTACATCGATCCGGACAGGGGACCTACGCGCGTGACGAATGGGTCGACGTACAAGGCGCTGTGGAAGTGTGCGACGTGCGAGCACGAGTGGCGGACGACGCTGAACTGTCGCACGCTGAGCGGCAGACCCACCGGCTGCCCGGCGAATTGCCGCAAGAAGCGTAAACGGCATTCACCCGCTACGACGTGCTAAAAACTAAGGGTATTCCTAATCGCGCTCACTCATCGCCCTCCTCATCCTCCTCCTCCTCCGCGTCGTCAACCTCCCTCGGCGCGTCGTCCAGCGCCCTCGGCAGCCGCCCCACCAGCGCGCGTAACCCCGCCGCGCACGCCGCGACGAACCCGAACACCACGTACTGCTGCCCTCTCTCGCCCATCCGCAACGACCAGCTGTACACGACGCCGCACGCCACCGGCGCGATGATCCTCCCGAGCGCGGCGACGGACGTCGCGACGCCGTTCACGCGCGCTTTGAACGCGTTCACGCACGAGTTGTTCACCGCCATGATGATCGTCGTGAAGAGAAGCGCGAGCGTGCAAATTTTCAACGCCTGATGTTGAGGGTCGTTCCATACAGAAAATGTTCATCGGTCAGTTGATTGGAGATGCGATCAAGTGTTGAAACCGACCGATGGGTGAAATACGTTTGTAAAACTATCTGATAGAACGCGCCTGCGAGAGCAACAGCACGACCCAACGCGCGACGACGTCGTCCTCGTCCACCATCGCCGCCGTCGGCGCGATGAGCGCGACGCACGCGAACGCGACCGCGCCGAACCGCAGCCCGCCGGTCACGCCGAGCGCTTTCAGAACCCTCGGGAACAGGAAGAGTTGAAACGTCACGAGCGTCACGCCGCCGAACACGAGGACGGCGCCGATTTCACCCGCGCTCAGCTCGAGTCCGCCCAACGACGTCGACGTCTTGGCGTAGACCGGGAAGATCTCGTCGTACCCGATCGCGATCGCGGCGAGCGCGGCGTACGACGCGATCGCTTCGACCGTGTGCGCGTTCCATCCTCTCGTGGACAAGCCTTTCGCGGCGGCGGCGGCGGCGGCGGCGGAGTCATCTTTTGGTTTTTTGGTTTCCGCTGCCGCGGTTCCTCCGAGCTCGACGTCCGCGGCGTCTATCGACGTTCCGTCTTCCCCTGACATCGTCTTCACGACGCCCATCTCGACCTCTTTGAGGCCGCGCTCGCCGTCGTCGTCCACGATCGTCAGCAGCGCCTCGCTGCGATCCTTCCCTTCGTATGGGCGTTCACCCTCGTCGTCGTCGTCGTCGTCGTTGTCGTCGCCGACCCTCGCGTAGTACGCCGCGTCGCCTCCGCTCGCCTTCGCTTCCATCCGCCGCCACTGCGACGCGCTCTCCGGGACATACAGAAACCCTAACACCCCGCCAGTGAGCGTTAACATCCCCGCGAACAGCATCGGCAGCAAGAACGGATACCGCTCGAAGACGGTGCCCTCGAACGTATCCGGCCAACGCTCCGCGGGTCTCTGCAGAAACCCGCCCACGGCGGGCGCGACGCACGACGCGACGCCGAACGCCATCGCGAATATCGAAAACGCCCGCGCTTGCTGCGTTTTATCCGTCGTCTCCCCGATGTACGTCTTCACCACCCCGGCGTTGCCGTTCAACAGCCCGGTCAGGAACCGCCCGCTGACGCACTGCGCGTAACTCCCGGCGGTGCCGAAGACGAGCACGGAGAAGGTGCTGAGGGTCGTTCCATACAAAGCGACGTCGGGGTGGAGTTCAAAGGCGTCAGTTGGAGTTGAGAGGCGTCGAGGTGTGTCGGGATTGAAACCGAGGGGTGGGCGGAGAGATGCGCCGGGAGAGAAAGTCCTTAAGAAACGGCGTTCACCACGCGAACGGGGTCGTATGGGAACCAGTGTACAGAACGCACCTCAGAAACATCCCGAGGAGCATCACCGGCCGTCGGCCGAATCGATCCGCGGCCACGCCCCACGGGTACGACGACAGGAGCTGCCCGACGCTCGTCGCCGCGCCCGCGAATCCGACCCACGCGCCGAGGTCTTTCTCGGAGGACGCGACGCCGTAGGATTCCACCATGAACGGCAGCATCGGCCACACGACGTTCAGCCCGAACGCGTCGACGATGTTCAGGAGGCTGAGGGCCATTCCATACAAAAAAGTTTCACCGGTCAGTTGAAAGAGGGCGCGATCAAATGTTGAAACCGGACAATGGGTGAAAAACTTTATAGAACGCACCTGAGCACGAAGAAGAAGAACGGCGACTTGCGGCCTCTCGCCTCCAGGGGCGGGAGACGCGGCGACGGTGGCATCGTCGTCGTCGGTCGTCGGTCGTCGGGACGGACGCGTCGCGCGCGCGGGGTGGGGGGGGGGGGAGGGAGCGACGGCGTGATGCGGTCGACCCCCGGCCCCCGGCTCCCGCGCCGCGAACTATGGAAGGAAGATGAAGACGCGCGACGTGGACGAACGAGAAGAACAGAAGGACTCCCTGGAAAATAATGCCTGGCGGCGGCGAGAGTGCCGCGGCGTGTCTTTACACGACACCATCCAAATTCTAATATCATAAGCGCGCGCACCTCCTCCTCCTCCTCCTCCTCTCTCTCCTCCTCCTCTTCCTCTCCGGTCACTTGTTGACGTTCCCCAGCAGAGACATCCCGCTGCGATCTTCCACCTCTTCCCACCCCGGCCCCGTCCGCGGGTTCGGCTTCTTCTTCCCCAACAGATCGTCCCTGTCCATGATCATGTCCAGGTCCGCGTCCGAGATGTCCGCGCTCTGCGAGATGCCGTCGTCGTCCTGGTCCTCGCCCTTCAGCAGCGCCATGAGCTCCTCGACGCCGACGCCCGCCGTCGCGCTCGAAGACTTGGACGCCGCCTTCTTCTCCCCGCCACCAGCCTTGGACGCGCCATCCTTCGCGTCCATCTCCGCGCCCTCTTGCCGGAAGTTCCCCTTCGTGATGACGAGCTTCTCCAGCGCGAGCTTACTGTTCGCCCTCGAGAGCATCTTCCCTTCCACGGAGTGCGCGGTCGCGAGCCTCAGGACGTGCACGGGCTTCGTCTGCCCGATGCGGTGGCAGCGATCCATGGCTTGCATGTCTTGGTGCGGGTTCCAGTCCGAGTCGTAGATGATCACGGTGTCGGCGGCGGTGAGGTTGATGCCGAGGCCGCCCGCGCGCGTGGACAGGAGGAAGATGTCCACGCTCGGGTCCGTGTTGAACGCGTCCATCTGCTCCTTGCGCTCCTGCCACGCCACGCTGCCGTCGATGCGGCACACGCGCGAGCCTTGCTGCTCAAAGTAGGACTCGATGAGGTCGAGCATCTTCGTCATCTGCGAGAAGATCAACGTCTTGTGCCCGCGTTGGCGCAACTTTTTCATGATGCGATCGAGGAGCCGAAACTTCCCGCACTGCTCGACGAGCTCCGCGGCGGACGGGAACATGATGCTGCCGTCTAATCCGCCCGAGATCAAGTCCGGGTGGTTGCAGTTTTTGCGCAGTTGCATCAGCATGTTGTTCAACGCCGTGGAGCCGACGGGCGCGACGCCGCCCGAGAGTTTCTGGAGCATCTCCCCGATGGTCTTGTCCACGAGCGCGTCGTTGAACTTCTTCTGCGTCTCCACCATGTGCGCGTAGATGACGATCTCTTTCTTTCGAGGGAGGTTCACCTCGACGTCACCTTTTAAACGCCTGAGAAGGAACGGTTTCAGGATGCCGTGGAGCTTCTCCACCACCTTGGCGCGTTTGGACGTCTCCTTCTCGTCGTTGTTTTGTTCCGCGCTGAAATCGAACCAGCTCTGGAACTGCGAAAGCGAAGAGAAGACGTCCGGGAGGAGGAAGTGCAGCAGCGACCAGAGCTCCGGGAGGTTGTTCTGCAGCGGCGTGCCCGTGAGCAGGAGCTTGTTCGACGTCGGAATCGTCTTCAGCTCGCGGATGAGCTTGCAGTCGAAATTTTTAAGCCTGTGTCCCTCGTCCACGACGAGGTACTTGAAGTTGTACTTGGACAAAAACTTCCGGTCCGCCATGACAATCTCGAACGAGGTCACGATCACCGGGAACGTGTCCTTGATCGGCGTCGTGATGGGGAGGTGCCTCGCGCGGATGTCCGCGCGGTCGGTCCTGCTGCCGTGATACAGCACCACCGGGAACGACGGGCAAAACTTGTGAAACTCGTTGACCCAGTTTGAAAGCGTCGAGAGCGGCCCGATGACGAGGTACGGCCCCAGCACGCCCTTCGATCGCAGGTGCGACAGGAACCCGATCGTTTGAACCGTCTTCCCGAGACCCATCTGATCCGCGAGGATCCCGTTCAGACCGTTCTGGTACAACGCGATGAGCCACTTGACGCCCTTGAGCTGGTAGTCGCGCATGTTCACCGTCATCATCGGCAGAAGCTTCTGCGTCTCGCTCAGCGTCGCCGCGTCCGCGGCGTCGCCGCGCCCGGAGCGCCCGCCGCCGACGCCGCCGCCCGCGCCCTTACCCCCGTCCGCGGCGCCGCCGCCGGGGATCGAACCGCCGCCGGACTTGCCCTTCTTTTGTTTCTTCTTCGCCGGCTTTCCGTCGTTTTCATCCTCGTTGAGCTGCACCATCTGTTCGCTGAGAAACTTGGAGTAGATGGTCGTCTGATCCAGCAGCGCCTCGAGGTTATCGTACTTCTTCTCGTCCAGGTCCACCGGGTCCTGATGCGGTGGAGGCGGGAGCGATGGCGGTGGCGGGGCGGTGAGTCGGCGGCGGGTGAGGGAGGGAGGGAGACGCCAGACGGAAATTCATTCGTTCGCTCGCTCGCGCGAGCGGGAAACGATCTGAGCTCGCGCGCCGCGCGCCGCGCGCGACCGCGGCGCGGCGCCGCGCGCGTCGCGCGACGCGACGCGCGAGCTCAGATCGCGCGCGATCGCTCGAGACGCGCGCGCGGACGCGATTCCCCGCGCGATCGCCGCCTCCGCGCGTCGCGCGACGGTTCGCGCGCGGCGTGACTCGGCACGCGCCGTCGCGTCGTCGAGCGCCGTCCGGTCGTTCGAGCGGGAAAGATGGACAAGATGGACGCGCGCACCTCCTTCGCCTTGGCCTCCTCCTCCGCCTTGACGCGCTCGCGCTCCTCGTGGAGCTTGCGCTCCTCCTCGAGGACCTGCTCGTCCACGTCCACGATCTCCTCCTCCTCCTCGCTCGGGGTGCCGGGCTCGGTGCCGTCGCGCGGATCGGTGGCGTCCGGCGCGAGTTGCTTCGCTTCGTCCATCGTCTTTCGTTTCCCGCTCTCCTGCGCGCCGCTCGGCGAAGTGATCTGGAGGAGGAGGAAGGCGAGAGGGCGGCGTCGTCAGCGGAGTCCGCGCGTCGTGGAGAAGGCGAGGAGCGGCGAGAGGAAGAAAGGGCGCGTCCGTTCGGTCGCCGCCGCGCACCTCGAGCGTCTCGGCCATGTCGCGCGCGTGCTGCGGCGCGCGTGCGTGCGATCGTTTCTGCGAGCGCGCGCGATTCGGTCCGGCGGCGAAGCACGTCACCACCGCGCGCCAGCTGGAGCTTTCGGCCGATGCCGACCGGAAGCGGTGACCGCGATGTTGACCCCAATTTCGCGACCAAAAGTCACGTTTTCAAAGGAAAATATTTCCCTCTCGACCCACGTTCTGTTGCGATTTTCACCCCGGATCCGGGAGGGCTTGGCGGGGCGTTTGAAATATTCTCGCCCGAGGGCGCGCTGCCGCTGCCGCGCCGCCGCCGTCGCGCGCAGACCGACTCGCGCGCGCGCCTCGTCCGCGTCGCGCTCAGATCGCACCTCCCTCCGTCGTCGCCACGATGAGCGACAACCCGTTCGAGGAAGGGAACGCGGAGCCGAACCCGTTCCAGGTGCGCGCGCGATCTCTAGACTTGGACGCGAGGGCGCGTCCTCCGTTCAAACGCGCGCGACCGTCGTCCGTCCGTCGACGCCGCGCGCGCCGGTCGTCCCCGGCGTCGACGATCGCGATCGCCACCGCCGCGCGCGTCGCCGTCGTCCTCCCGCGCGTCGCGATCGGCGCGCCGCCGCGCCGCCGCCGCGCGGTCGGCGCGGCCGTCGGACGCGCCCCGCGTCAGATCTCTCGCGTCGATCTCTCGCGCGGCGCTCACCCCTCTCCCTCCCCTCTCTCTCCCCCCACCACCCCAGGCGTCCGCGGAGGTGGAGCCCGCGAACCCGTTCAACCCGTCCCCGACGGACGTCGCCCCGACGTACGACAACCCCGCGTACGACGACGCGGCGCCCGCGCCCGTGACCACGTTCGGCGCCTACGACGTCGGCGCGTACGGATCCGACGCCGCGCCCGCGCCGTCGGCGTCGTCGCCGCCGTCGGCGGCGGCGGCGGCGGACGCGTACCAGCCCAGCGGCGGCGCGTACGGCGGCGCGGGCACCGCGCTGGCGTCCGCGGCGGCCGCGTACGGAAGCGGCTCGAAATCGCCCGGATCCGACGGCGGCGAGACGTCGGTCCGCGTGCGGGAGTTGGAACAACGCGAGGCGGCGCTGCGTCGAAGGCGCGTTCTATCTCACACTGGTCCCCATACGACCGCGTTCGCGTCGTGCACGCCGATCCTTAAGGACTTTCTCTCCCGGCGGTCGTTTCTCTCCTCCCGCCCCTCGCTGGGGGCGCCAATCCCGACACACCGCGCGCGACGCCTTTCAATTCCACCCCTGAGCCTTTGAACTCCACCCCGACGTTCGTCGCTTCGCCCTAAACCGTCGACCCCAAGGGAGGAGGAGGTGATTCGTCGGGAGCAGGCGCTCGCGAACGCGGGGCAGAAGAACTGGCCGTTCAAGCGGTACGCGATCGCGTTCCACGACATCGAGCTCGAGATCCCGGAGGAGTGCCAGCGCGCGGTGCACCACGCGCACTACGCGTTTTGGGGCCTCGTGTTTTGCCTGACGTACAACTTCCTCTTCGCCGCGTCGGCGGCGTTTTTCGGCCTCGGCGATTTCGCCGCGTGGATCATGGCGATCCTGTACCTCATCACCGGCGTCCCGGGCGCGTACTTCTTCTGGTACGCGCGTCTGTACAACGCCACGAAGAACGACAGCGCGCTCGGGTACGCGTGGTTCTTCATCGTCTTCCTCGTGCACATCGCGTTTTGCCTCTTCGCGTTCATCGCGCCGCCGGATGCGTTCGGAACCGCCAAGTACTCCCTCGCAGGGGTGATGTCCACGGCGGAGATGGAGAAGGAGAACTCCAGCATCGGCGGCGTGTACGCGTTCGGCGCCGCGCTGTGGTTCTTGGAGCTTCTTTGGTCCGTTTGGGTCATTCGCGGCGTGTACTTGGCGTTCAGAGGGCAAGGGCACACGGTGACGGAGGCGAGGAACGCGGTGGCGAAGGACGCCGCGTTCGGCGCGGCCAAGTCGGGCGCGAGGCGTTAGCCCCGCGACGTAAGTAACGGTCGACGATGAGGCGTTATGTTGTGCGTGTGCTTCACAACACTCTGTTAATACGTCGTACAAATTGTGCGTGTGCTTCACAACACTCTGCCGCGCGACTCGACGTCGGATCGCGCGCCTCGCCTCGTAGACGCGGTCGTCGACCCGGTGCCTATCATCGCGAGCTGCGCGCCGTACCCGCCCTTCGCGCTCGCGGCGACGCTCTCCGTCGTCGTCGTCGTCGCGAGGGAGGCGTCGCGCGTCGAGTTCCCGCTCCCGCTCCCGCTCCCGCTCCCGCGCGCGCGGGGCAACCCGTCGTCGTCGTCGTCCGCGGCGGCGACGGCGGCGCGTCCGCCGCCCCGCGCCGCGCGGCGTCCTCGCGTCGTGCACATCCCCCACCCCCTCAGCGCGTCGATCACCCCCTCTTCCTCCTCCTCGCCGCCGTTCGCGTTCGCGTTCGCGCGCGCGCGCGCCGCCGTCACTTCCTCCGCCACTTCCTCCTCCTCCTCCTCCTCCTCCTCCTCGTCGTCGGGGAAGTACAGCTGTCGCTCGCGCTCGAGCGCCTCCGCCTTCGCCGCCGCGTCGTCGCGCGCCTCCTCCGCGCGCTTCAACACGACGGTGTATCCGCCGCCCATGAGCGGCGAGCACATCTCCGCGCTCCCCCACCGCTCTTCGCGCTCGCGATGCGCGCTCGCGACGGACGCGGACGCGTCGCCGAGATTCCCGCGCGCGCGAGGCAGCGCCGCGTGCGGCACGATGCCGCCGCGGACGCCGCACGGTCGGTCGTTCTCCGCGCGCCCGCGGACGTACGCCTCCGCCTTTCGCACCGCGGCGTCCTTCCTCGCGAGGTCGTCGAGCGCGGCGTTCTCCTTGTCGAGGAAGGACGCCGCCGCGAGGTCGCGACGTCGCGCGCGGAGGATGTTCGATTCTCTCGCGTCGATCTCGTCGAGCCGCGCGAGGAGCGCGTCTCGCGCGGCGGCCGCGTTCGGGCATACCGCGTCCTGCCACTCCCGCGCGGTCCTCGCGGGGACGTTCTCGATCCCGCGCTCGATGTCCGCCCAGTACGCCTCGGTCTCCGCGCGGAGCGGCATCGCGCGGCGCGAGCGGCGGGAGACGCGCGGCGGTGGAGTGATGACGCGGCGCGAGCGGCGGGAGACGCGCGGCGGTGGAGTGATGACGCGGCGCGAGCGGCGGGAGACGCGCGGCGGTGGAGTGATGACGACGATTCGGTCAACGGAAACGACGACGACCAGACTGCGCGCGCGTTTCGATGAAAAAAAAACGCTCGCGCCGTCGGCGAAATTATCATAAATCACGTCAACGCGCGCACTCGAAACGACTGCGAGTGCCCCCCTCCGTCGCCCCCCCGCGAGCTCTGCATCTCGCGCGTGCTCGCGACGCGCTCCGCGCTCACCTCCACGTGGCTCCCCAGCCTGCGAAGCAACACGACGAGCTCGTCCGCGACGCGCGCGGCGTCCTCGCCTCGATCGACCCCGCCGCCGACCCCGCCGCCGCCGCCGCCGCCGCCGCCGTCGTCGAGCCCGTGCAGCAGCCTCTGCGCGGCGTACGCGCACAGCGACGTCAGAGACGTCGCGTACTCGACCTCGTGGCGGTAATACATACCTAGCGCGGCGTCGGAGGACGCGTCCGTGAGGTAGGGCGCGCGCGCGGACTCGACGCCGAGGTCGTAGAATTCGCTCGGTTTCATCTCGCCCGCGCCGCCTCCGTCGTCTAGGCGGCGGCGGCGGGGGGATAGAAACGCGGGTAACGGCACGTCCGGTTGCGTTTCTGGTTCACTCGTCGCCGTTTTCGTCGACGACGTCGTCGTCGTCGTCGCGGCGCTGAAAGACCCCGCGCGTAGGATCCCGCCGCGGGACCCCCCCGAACGCGGCGGCGGCGGCGGCTTTTGTTTCATCGTCGTCGAATCCGAATCCGCGCCCGCGTCCGCGCCCGCGCATCCCCTAGTATCGACGCCTCTCTCCTTATCGATCGCGACGGACAACACGTCGTACCCCGCCTCCGTTCGAATCGCGTTCACGCACGCGATGAACGTCTTCTTCGCACGCACGCGCTTCCACAGCGCCACCCGCATGCGCTTCACGGCGTAGCCGGTCATCGCTCGCGCCGTCTCCGGCACCTCTCGCGCGGCGTCTTGAAACACTCGGCGACTCAAACTGAGCAACTCCGTGAACGTGACCGTCTTCACCGTGGCGGTGCGTCGCGTCCGCATCGCGACCGCGACCTCGCCGATCATCGCGCCCTCGTTTAAGTACGCGACGTGCGACCCGCCGGCGATGACTGCAAAGCGGCGTCAGGGCGGCGTTCGGGGGCGCATCATCAGGCGGAGTCGAAAGGCGACCGCGGGGCGGGCGGAGAGAAATACGATACGCGCGCGGGAAAAGAAAGGCACCCTAGCTAGCTAGAGGAATGGCGTTCACCACTCGAACGCGGTCGTATGGGAACCAGTCAGTGTACAACAATGCGGACGCCGCACCTTCGACCTCGCCGTGGACGATGAAGAACATCTCGTCGCCGATCTCGCCTTGCTTCATGACCGTCTCCCTCGGCGAGTAGACTCTGCGGATGAGCTTACCTATGATGCACTTCACGAATTGCTCGTCCGCGTCTCGAAAGAAGTCGATCGTGTTCAGGACGTTCCGCATGCTCCACAGCTGGACTTCCATGCGCATGCTGTCGGACAAGTGGCCGAGGAGTTTATCTTCCGCGTGAAAGAGCGACGTCGCGCGCTTGTAGTGAAAGAATTCTCGAACTTTCGCGCGCAACGGGTTCGGAATGTTACGAAACTCAAAGTACTCGTTCGCCTGGTCCATGAGCTTCTGGAACTCCACGTCCGCGCCGTTGATGTTCGCGATGAGCGACGTGACCTGCGTGAGGCCGTACAGGAACACGCACGACCCCGCGAGCTGCGCGAAGATGGTCATCATGCGCTCGTCTCGATTCGACGGCACGATGTCGCCGTATCCGATCGTCGTCATCGTCGTGATGGCCCAGTACACGCACGTGGCGTACCTCGTGCTGCGCCCTTGTTCATCTAACCGCTCCGAATCCTGCGTTATTTTTCGAATCGATACGAACGAACGTCCGTCAGTCGAACGCGCGAAACGACGAAGGAGGGAGGCTCCCTCCGCCAAATGAAGGGTGAAAAGAAAGGAGAGGGAGGTTTGAAAGGAAAGACGCCGAGGACGCGCGCGCGCCTGCGATTGCGCCAAGAGTTCCACCCACGTCACGCCGTGGGCGCCGTGATCTTGAAGCACGAACGAGAGGTACCACGCGCACGCGAGCCAGTGCGCGAGGCACATGACGACGACCGCGAACTTCATGACCTGCCATATGCCGTACTTGATCGACATCTTGCGCTCGAGCCGGTGTAATATTCGGTTTAGACGCATGATGCGGAAGAGCTTCACGAGCCGCAAGAGTTTCAAGATGCGAACGAATTTGGTGCTTCGGTAGGCTTCGCTGTTCGACGTCCCCGCGGCGATGATGTCGAACGGAAACGACGCGATGAGGTCCGGGACGAACCAGGAGCGCGCGTACTGCCGCGCGATCTTCTTGGGGTCGAGCACGACCTTGCTGTTGCCCTTGTGCGCGTATCCGGTCACGAAGTTTAAGACGATGTCGAAGACGAAAAAGACGTCCACGAATCGATCGACGCCGTAGATCCACGTCCCCGAGTGCGACGCCACCTGGAGTGGAGGGAAACGATTTCATTGGTCGAACGCGTTCGGTCAGATGTTTTGATCACGATTCAAGAAGTACGATTGGTCCGCGGATGATGACGTGGAAGAAGATCACGACGCACCTCGAACCCGATCACGAACGGCACGAGCAGCGCGATGTACACCAGCAGAGACACCAGGTACAGGTCCCAGTACCTTCAAGCGAATGTCGGGGTGGAGTTGAAAGGCGTCAGAAACGGAGTTGAAAGGCGCCGAGGGCGGGTATTGAAAGCGAGGTGTGGGCGGAGAGAGACGACAGCGAAAGTCCTTAAGGATCGGCGTTCACCACGCGAACGCGGTCGTATGGGGACCAGCGTATAGAACGTACCTTCGAAACGCGCTGAACGGGTGTATGATCCACCAGTGCGTCCGCGAGAGCATCTTCGCGACCCACTCCTCGTCGTGCATGTGAATGTTCTCGTCCGCGATGGGCTCGCCGAAGTGGATGATGTATCCGAGCTTGGAGAAGAACGGCGCGTGGACGCGTTTGCCGTCGTCGCCGCGGCCGCGACGCGCGTCCTTTCGGTCGCGCGTCTCCTTGTTCAAGCGATCGATCAGGACCGTTCCCCACGACTTGGATCGAGAGAACTTGCGCACGAGCTCCGCCGGGGGGTCGTCGTCGACGTCCGTGCGGTGCGGCGGCGCGCCGTACGCGCGCGCGACGGCGCGGTGATGGCGCGACGGCGGCGGCGCGACGGACGGCGCGGGCGGAGGAAGAGAGGGTCGACGCTTCGACGACGACGACGACGTCAGCGTCCCCGCGCGAACCGTCCCCGAGCTGGACCCGCCTCGGCGAGGCGGCGGCGGCGGCGGCGGCGGCGGCGGCGGC